CTAACTCAAAAAGAATTGAACCTGAGACAGAGAAGATGGTTGGAATTGATCAAAGACTACGACTGCTACATTGACTATCACCCTGGCAAGGCTAACGTAGTTGCTGACGCATTGAGCCGAAAGATGATAGCCGAACTCCGAGTTCAACCTACTCTTGAGAACGAAATTCATGCTGCACAAAAACGTGATGACTACTGTTTGAAGACTTGTGAACTTGTCTCTAAGGGGGAGAGACAAGATTTCACAGTAAATAATGGAATTTTATTCTACCGGAATCGCTTGGTAGTTCCTAGTGGCAAAGTGAGGGAACGTTTAATGCGTGAATCTCATGAAACCACTTATACCATGCATCCTGGTAGTAATAAAATGTTCCAAGATCTGAAGAAGACATATTGGTGGTCCACAATGAAGCGGGAAATTTCTGAATTTACAACACGATGTCTGACGTGTCAACAAGTCAAGGCTGAACACCAAGTGCCTAGTGGGTTGTTACATCCACCTACTATCCCTGAATGGAAGTGGGAACGAATTACGATGGACTTTGTGGATGGACTTCAATTATCAGCTAAGAAAAATGACGCTGTCTGGGTAATTGTTGATCGATTAACCAAGTCATCTCATTTTATTCCTATTCGACGCGATATGTCCTTGCAGAAGTTAACAGAGTTGTACATCTGTGAGATTGTAAGATTACATGGTGTACCTTTGTCTATCATTTCTGATCGTGACCCGCGATTCACGTCGCAATTCTGGAAGAGTTTGCAGAAAGCCTTAGGTACTAAACTTAACTTTAGTACGACATTTCATCCTCAAACTGACGGACAATCTGAAAGGACAATTCAAATTCTTGAATATATGATGATAGCATGTGTAATTAATTTTGGAAGCAACTGGGAACAATACTTACCGCTAATGGAGTTCGCGTATAACAACAGTTATCAAGCGAGTATCCAAATGGCCCCGTACGAAGCCTTATATGGGAGACGCAGTAGAACCCCAGTATGCTGGATAGAATTAAGCGAGCAAAAGCTTGAAGGACCTGATCTCGTTCGCGAAACTGAAGAGAAGGTTCACCTAATCAGAGAAAGATTGCAAGTGGCTTCCGATTCACAGAAATCTTATGCCGACTTAAAACGTCGTGAGATTGAATACAACGTTGATGACAAAGTATTCCTGAAAGTCTCACCATGGAAGAAAGTACTGCGGTTTGGTAGGAAGGGAAAACTGAGTCCAAGGTATATTGGGCCATACTGAATCATTGAAAGGGTAGGTCCAGTAGCCTATCAGTTGGAACTTCCACCCGAATTAAACAAAATTCACGATGTATTCCATGTGTCAATGTTGAAACGATACCGTTCTGATCCATCGCATGTCTTGACCGATGGAACTGTAACTCTTGATGAAAATTTGACTTATGAAGAATAACCTGTCCAAATTTTGGCACGTGAAGTCAAGGAACTAAGAAACAAATCTGTCCCTCTAGTCAAAGTGCTATGGAGGAATCACTCGACTAAAGAGGCAACATGGGAAACCGAAGAGTCAATGAGGATGCAATATCTGAATCTCTTCAACCAATGACTCAGGTAATTTCGAGGACGAAATTATTTTAAGGGGGAGAGAAATGTAATGCCCCAAAAATAGGCCTATCAGAGTTAATTAATTTATAATTAATTAATAACTGAGAAGGACCCAAAAGTAAGTAAATTCTAAAGTTTGTCAATAAATAATGAAAATCATATCATTATGTAGAGTTTGACTGTCTGACCCCAACGGTTGAATCGGATTTCAATTTGGAGAAAGTTGGAACAAAAAGTGTACCCCAACTGGGACCAAAATTAGTCCCAATCAGGGACTACACACCAAACGGCGCCCTGTTCAATTACGCCGATTCCAAATCGTCGCTCAATCACGGAAGCTGCAACCCATGTCTTCTTCCTTCCTCACTTGGCTATTTAAGGACAACCCAACTCCCTCAAGGGTTTTACTAGCGTAGTAAATTGGGTGAAAAACCTTTTCCTTCCTTTGTCCAAGGATTGCTCCTACTATTAAATCGCTAGCGTCGCACATGAGTTCAAACGGTAGTGCCCAATCTGGGGCGATAAGAACTGGGGCTGAGATTAGTTTTTCTTTCAAGGTATTGAATGCTTGTAAACATTCATCCGTAAAAACAAACTCTATACCCTTCTCTAGTAGGGCAGTTAGGGGTTTTGCTATTTTAGCGAAGTCCTTGATAAACCTTCTATAAAATCCTGCGTGCCCTAAAAAACTTCGGATGGCTTTTACGGAATTTGGCGGTGGAAGCTTCTCGATAGCTTGTGACCTAAGACTATTCCTTCTTTTACTAAGAACTGGCATTTCTCCCAACTATGAGCTAGGTGAGTTTCCTCGCATCTTATGAGAACTTTTTCTAGATTACCTAGGCATTCGTCAAATGACTTCCCTGTGATAGAGAAATCATCCATAAAGACTTCCATAAAATACCCTATAAACTTTTCAAAAATAGCTATCATACACCTCATAAAGGTGGCAGGGGCATTACAGAGTCCGAATGACATCCAACGAAATGCAAAGGTTCCGAAGGGGCAAGTGAAAGTGGTCTTCTCTTGGTCTTTGAGATTTACATGGATCTGGAAATAACCACTCATCCCATCCAGGAAGCAATAGTACGCATGGCCAGCTAATTTCTCAATGAGTTGGTCAATAAAAGGAAGGGGGAAATGATCCTTGCGTGTGGCATCATTTAACTTTCTATAGTCTATGACCATTTGCCATCCAGTCACCGTTCTTCCTGGAACTAATTCTCCCTTCTCATTTTTGGTTACTGTCATTCCACCCTTTTTTGGAACAACATGGAATGGTGACACCCATTGGCTATCTGAAATGGGATAAATTATTCCAGCATCCAAGAGTCTAAGCACTTCTTTCTGCACTACCTCCATTAATTTTGGATTCAACCTGCGTTGAGCCAGCACAACGGGTTCAAATCCGTCCTCAATGGNGATGATTAAGTCATGATTAAAAATGAATTAATGGTGATTATGAAAACAGTGTATATTGTTAAGGATATCTAGAAGAACTCTAAGATATACCCACTTGTATATTGATGATGAATATTAAGGATATCTAGAAGAACTCTAAAGATATACCTACTTGACCAATTCATATTTCGGGTTAAAACGTACGTACGGGATCCAGACCGGATATCACCCACCCGACAAATCATTGTTCGATTGGTACGTAATCCACATGACTCATAGGGTGGATTATCGATTCTTGTGTTCTGCATTAAACTATTTATAGTTTAAGGGCCTGGTTAGAAATGTTGCCTTAGACTAGGAATAGCTAAGAGCTTGTTATAAAATGATTTGGCTTTAGATTAAGAATAATTTAAGAGCATGGTTGAGATATTGAATATCAAATGACTTGGAATAAAATATTGAGAATATCATGAATGTTTGAATCATGTATTGTGTGCATGATATCAAATGGTTGATTATGAATTGAGATTCAATTTATTTGGATGTTCGACGCTTTAGATATGCTTACTCAGCTTCACCGCTGAGTGTGTAGTGTGTTTTATTTGCTACACGCAGGTAGGCAGAATGAGTGAATGGCATGTTCCTGGCAGCGGAAGGGGCGAGACAGTCGTAGTGGATTTATTGAGAAAATAAATGATTATGTTGTTATGAGTCATGTTTAAAATCGCTTCCGCATTAAACACTCCGTATTTACTACAATTATGTTTGGAATTTTATTTATGATGAATAAAGTTATTTAAAATGTTTTAAATTATACGATTACCAAGTTAATACTTTAGTTCGGAAGGGGCTGTAAACCTGGACAGATTAGGGTGTTACAATTTGGTATCGGAGCAAATGTTTTTAAACACGATCTTCGGATCAATGCTTGATTTAAAAATATATATTATATATTTTGGGTAAAAAAAATATTGTCAATCACATCCACGACTCTCGCATCCCTCTGCTCCAGGAAGGTAATTAAAAAAATGAGTATTGAAATTGACTGTATCAAATTTTATAGATGTCAACTGTTAATTCGGAAATGATATCAAGTGTTGATTCAAGTCGCACTTTCGTACTTGGTAAAAGACGAAAGAACAAACGAAATGTCTATCTGCGCACATCGATTCGCAACAATAATGAAACGAAGGATTTATCTGCGCCGCAAGGCTGCATGGGAACGAGATGACCCAGAAGAGACGTTCAGCGTAGACTCTGCCAGTAGTGTATGTGGGTCGGGCAAGGAAGACCCGTTTGTAGATTCGATACGATCCAACCAATCGAACACAAACGCTTAGAAAATTATCTTATTGTTGGTTTCAAATCCATTGATTGTATCAACTGTTGTAACCCTTTTCAATTCCTGTCTTAAACTCAACTACTGAATAAAAGAATCCTAATAAAGGAATTTCTGTTATTGTAGAATGAGTCAAGAATCTGCCCAAGGACAAGGCAACAATAATGAACACGTCAGTGTTCATACTGAAGCATCTAGCTTTACCCCTCCCGTCCAAAATGAACCCGTCAATCATCAAAATGTTGGGAATAACCCGAACGCTGATGGTCAACCCGACGTTGTGATTCCCACATTTCTGGCAAATGTATTACAACAGATAGCCAACGCACCAATGTTTCAACCACCTCCACCACCGCCACCGCGAGTAATAACCTACAAAACATTAAGGGATAACGGTGCAGAATTATTCCTTGGGGATCGCATCGGTGAACCCCAAATTGCATGGGACTGGATCAAGCAGACTGCTCGAGTGTTGGAGGATCTTAACGTACCCATTGGCAACTATCCCCAACTGGCATCTCAGCTCCTTCGCAAAGAAGCCTACGAGTGGTGGAAGAGGACCGATGAGAGTGTAAGAACCCCTAAGCCATGGACATGGGCACATTTCAAATGGGCATTCAAGCAAGAATATATTCCAAAAAGTTTTAGCGAAGAAAGACGTAAAGAATTTGTCGAATTGCAACAGGGAGGCATGACACTCCCCGAGTATCGTCAGAAGTTTACCAGTCTTGCTAAGTTTGCACCAACCTTGGTGAGTACCCCAACTGATCGCATCGAGGAATTCAGGAAGAAACTTCGACCTGACCTTAGGTCGCGTGTATCCGTCTTAACCACCGTGGATTTCGCGGAGGCCTATGATCTCATAGCCAGGGCAGACAGCGACTTGAGTGCTTGCATTGAGTATCTGAAGACAAATAATGTCAGTTCAAGCACTCCCCGTCCCATTAGCTCTATCTCAAAAGGAAAAAGGCCCTTCCAGGAATCTAGCAATTCACACTTCTCAAAGAAGGGGAAATCGGTGCAGACGCACTCTGTGGCGTCGGAAAACAAATCAAGAGGGTGGAAACACCCATTGTGCGATACATGTGGGAGACATCATCCAGGCGAGTGTTGGCTTGCACAAGGATTATGTCTAGGTTGCGGCAAACCTGGACATTTTCGAAGGGATTGCCCCACTCATCCTGGCAAACCATTTCCGACAGCCCCAGTTGTGAGCCAATCAGCATCAGCACGACCTGCGCCAAGTCAACGATCAACGACGGGATCTAATCCGGCCAAGAACCAAAGTCAGCAACAGGGACGAGCTCCTGCTCGTACTTATGCAATGAAGGCACGAGCTGAGGAAAACCCTGACGTCATTCAGGGTATGTTTTCCTTATTTGATTCTGTCATGTATGTGTTGATAGACCCTGGATCAACGTTATCTTATATCTGCGTGCCTATGCCTGACAAGGCTGACGTAATGAAAGAAAACTTAGAACAACCTATACTAGTGCCTAACCCGTTAGGACATAGTATGAGGTTAGATCATGTGTATCAAGACTGTCCATTGATTGTTGAAGGACATCAGTTCTCTGCCAATCTTGTCGAATTACCGTACAAAGAAATAGACATCATCCTCGGAATGGATTGGCTCACCGAACACCAAGCAATTATCGATTGCCGACGACGAACGATTCAACTAAAGTCTGGAGAGGGAAAGTCTATAGAGGTGAAAGAGAATCTAACACCTAGATCCACTGAATTCATCTCGTACATACACGCTAGGCGTCTCATTCGAAAGAAATGTGAAGCTTATCTGTGTAACGTACGTGACACACGAAAAGAAACTCCTGAGTTGAAAGACATACCGACAGTATGTGGTTTTCCTGACGTATTTCCTGACGAACTTCCTGGTATACCATCTTCCAGAGAAGTAGAATTTTCCATCGATCTTGTTCCTGGAACAGGACCGATATCTGCAACTCCCTATCGCATGGCTCCTGCTGAAATGAAAGAGTTGAAGGCTCAACTACAAGAACTACTCGATAAAGGATTCATACGTCCGAGTGTTTCCCCTTGGGGAGCACCCGTCCTGTTTGTCAAAAAGAAAGACGGCTCGATGAGACTCTGCATCGATTACCGTCAATTGAACAAAGTCACAATCAAAAATCGATATCCTTTACCTCGTATCGATGACTTATTTGATCAGCTTAGAGGATCTACTGTATTCTCTAAGATTGACTTA